GCCAAGCCTATCACAACCCTCCTGCTTTACCCGGGCTTGGATCGGCTACGTTGAGACAACATAGGCGGAGTTGCGTGGTAAATCACCAAGTGTTGAAATTTAAGATCCTAGCAAGCAAAAGGGGAAGAGTACTAGTGTTGAAGATATTATAGGCAGTAAAGAATTAATGATCAAAGAGCCGATTATTGTCGATAATATGGCTAATTCTAATAAAGATGTGGTTGTTGTCCAGCAAGGTCACATGGCTAATGATCATGAAGCTAGTACAAGCAAGGCCAAGCCGAGGGATCCAAAATATAATCATCCTAAGTGGTGTCCTCTTGGTCTGACCAAGACACAATCAAGGAGATTGCAATGCATGAGGAGCCACGAGAAAATAGAACTAGAAGCAGAAAAGCAAAGGGATAAATTGTTCAATGAAACTCGTCCAATGATGGCCGCAAAACAAGTGTGGAAGCCTAAGCAAAAGGAAAACGTAGTAGCTTCTGCATTGATCATAGCAGCACCTACGCCACCAACGGAGGACGATGTGGCCGCTATTACATCGTCCACTTCACCCATTACTTCATCTTCACTTGCATATATTTCGGAGTCGGTGGGCATGCTTGAGTATGGAGATGATATGCTGGATTATGGGTCTACACCGGTTCATGAAGGTACGGGTATTAATATGGTGTATTACTTACTCGTTGAATTTTGTGCTATGCATGAAGAAGGGGAAGTAGCTCAGCTGGATTATGGCCCTAAAAATGCTATATTCGAGAAGCCAAAAGAACATGTGACGCACTTGAAGCCATTGTTCCTTAAAGGTCATATTAACATATCACCTGTTGCTAGAATGCTTGTTGATGGTGGTGTTGTGGTGAATCTTATGCCATATTTGGTCTTCAAAAAATTGGGACTGCGTGATGAAGAGTTGATAAAGACCAACATGGTGCTTAATGGATTTGAAGGCCAAGAGAAAACTGAAGCCAAAGGAGTTATATATGTGGAGCTTACGATGGGAAGCAAAACTTTGCCTACCATGTTCTTTGTCGCCAGGTGCAAGGTAATTACAATGTGATATTAGGTCGTGATTGCGTTCATGCAAACCAATGCGTGACATCTACTATGCACCAATTTTTAATTCAATGGGTTGATGATGAGGTGGAAGTCATTCATGCGGATAATTTGGCTCGTGTTGCTTTGGCCGATGCATTCGGTGGATCGTCAACATCCCAATGCTACTTGCTTGATGGGGCACGACTTATCAGAATTTGATTTTCTCAATGCTACAAAAAGTGGTTTTGTACTTGTTTCTTTAAAACCAGTTGGTGGTAATCGGCTCCAAGGTATGATGTATTTAAATGGATTCTAACTCAGAGTGTTACAAAAGCGTCTTTAGAATATCGGTCCAATGAGAACGATATGTATGAGTCTATAGAAGAGTTAGATGATATGGATAACTTAGGACAAGGTTTTACATCAGACGATCCATTAGAGGAGATGGATATTGGAGATGGTTCAATTACTAGGCTGACGTTTGTAAAAAAATTGAGAGCCGATTATAAAGCTAAGTTAATCGAGCTATTGAAAGAATATGTTTGTTGCTTTGCATGGGAATATCATGAGATGTCGGGTTTAAGCCGAGAGCTCGGTTGCCTATAAAGACCGGTTTTAGACCTTACAAACAAACGACCAGAAGATTTAATCCTAAAATATATGACTGGATCAAGGAAGAGATTGGTCTTTTGCTTAAAACTAATTTTATTATACCTTGCATGTATGCTGAATGGATTTCTAATATTGTGCCTATGGAGAAAAATGGATCCGAGTTCCAAAGCTTATATAAGCAAGATGCTATCTTGCAGAGCGATCTTTGGAGGAACACATCTATATTTGCCCGACTGCTGGTCATGGTCTATGAGATTGGGGTGATCTCTATCAAGCTCATGAACAGGCGAGGAGTATGACTAATATGTTCCACGCGAGGGGTCAACCTTCGACAAGCTAGTACTAGTGAAACTTCTTTCCGCCAAACTGACAATCCAAGGCATAGTTCATTGTTCAGTTGTGAAGGAGTGTGGCTACTTGCTCTAGGTGGAGTTCAACCTTAACAGGTATCCACTAAAATACGGGTATATCATAACAGTGTTTGAAACAAAGGATAGAATGGGCCCTTAAGATTTGGTGGGGGATTGTTGCAATATAGGATGGGCCTTAGGCCCATCTACCAATTTCAAAAAATCTACTAGGGCCCATGTGGGTTTATGCCAATGGGTATGGTGGGAAGTTTAGTCACATATTGCTAGTTGGAGAGGAGTTTGACCTCCTTTAAGGGATTCTCTTCCACATGCTATTGGAGCTTGAGAAGAGAAGTGGTTCCCGCGGGCTCCTCAACCGCCGCCCGTTGCGCCACGCCGCGAGTTGTGGAAATGAGCCGAGCCGAGCTCACACCTATGCAGTTATTTTTTCCGGTCAGGAATGAAGAATCCCTAACAACAGAGCCACGATCTGAGACGTTGGATCATGGGCTGTTACCGACTCGGACGTGGGTCCAACCCACGTCTCTCCATGCGGTCGTGCCTATATATGTGAGACGTCGGCCAACCCTAGCCGCCACGAGAAACAGATCACATCTTCTGCCTCCACGCCCACTGTCGTTCCTTTTGTTGCTGCTGTCGTCGGTGATCCCATCCCGTCCAGCGCGTACACAGTCGACGGGAGAGCAAGCCTCTGAAACCCCGCCTCTTCAGATCTTGTATACAGGAGAGGGGCGATTAGGTTTTTGGGAGCGTTTCCTACATGACTGCTCGCCACTGTTCGTCTGCATCCACTACGCCCGCGTCACCTTTATCATCATCATGTCATCGACATCGAGAGAATCGCCATCAAGAAGGATGCCGCTGACAAGAAGGCGGCTGAGGAGGCCGCCGTTGCTGCTTTTGCCAACTAGCCTACTGGAGGGTATAATGCGTTCGACAAAAGTACAAAGCATCTCAAACATAATGAAAATTACATTGAGATTCCAAGGCCCCCAAACAACCACTATTGCCGCCAGAACGAGCCGCCGACGCGCCGTTGTCGCTGCTCCCCTACCGGAGTAGGCTTGACCTTGTCGATGACGGCCGGGAAGTCTTCGTGCATGTGCCCCTAAGAGCCAGCGCCCTGAAGCCACAGTCATCGCCATTGAATCCTTGCATAGATCTAAAGTATCTGTCACCCAATCTCACCACAAGACGAGAAACCCTAACCTTATCGCCCCAAAGAGACGGCAGAAATCAACGTCGGAGCTCCGTCGACTACATCCAGATAGACGAACTCTAGGAGGATCGGAGCTCGAAAGACAAACTCGAAGAAGTAGCGCCGCCATCCGCCCGAGCACCGCACCTCC